ACAACGAAAATAAGTCGGTTAAACTGATAGCGACATGCAATAGGGAGCTATAAATGAATCAAGACGATAAAAACACTTTGGATTACTCATCGATTACTTCATTTCGACAACGACATCAATTAAAGCTTACTCAACCATTAAAAGAATGCAAAATGCGAAGGTCCAAAAAAAGTGTAGAGAAAACTTCGCTTCTGCGTAATTTTCTTTTCCCAACATTTGCCTTCTTCCAGCTCTTTTATCCCTTTATTTTTTAATCACAAATGGTGGTTTCATTTCTAAAATATTTTTCTTTGCAGAAATTTCTGCAACCGAAAATAAATATAAAGATATGAAAGAAGGATTTAGGACAATTGAGTTTTTCGACAAAAATGATACTGGAATAAACAAAAGGAAATTTCTGATGAAATAAGCGGAGATAACTTGTAAAGAGAAACCACAGATTTAATCGGAATCATTAGAAAGATGTAAAAAAATGGAAATGAAGACTACGTATCTTAAAATATAATTTCTAAACATCGAGGCAAATTTACCAACTGTCTAACTGACCAAACTACATGATTTTTAACACAGTGTTTTCAATATCCCGAAAACTGTATGTTCGCTATTCAAAGCACATTGCTTTATCAAGACCTAAACCGCATTCTGTAACTTCTACTTCGTTTTACTGAGTGCAACAATATCAGAAGCAACTTTTCAGTGAGTAAAAATGATACTTTAAAACAAATTTAAAATTTAAACCAGGAAAAAATTTAACCCGTCATCGTACAGCTCGAAATAACTTATAATGACAATGCACAGATATGAGACAGCTATCTCAAATTTTAGGCGTGCTGGAATATTCAAATAACTAGAGATTTAAAAGAGAACTGGATACTATTTCATAATCTCGCAAAACTATAAACACCTCAGAAACGATTCTGCAATATCTTCACTCTCTTTCCTACTTTGCTATTAAGGCATACAAGAAACAGACAAATGGAACACTTCATGAAAGCAATCGGAGAAAATGACTATAGGAAAATAAGAAATCTTTTAATTCGAACTGGCCATCAGTTTTGCACTTTCCGACAATAAAAAGCGTAATATAAAGAAAGTTCCCTACCATTTCGACTCGATTTATTAACTGATCAAAAATTTATATTATCAATGATGAAAAGAAGAAATAGGATGATGTGACACGATCATCCTATTAGCTTATAAAAAGATGACCAGTTTGTTACTTCTCACCTAGCACGAAGGAAAACATAAACTACAGTGTGCAAGAAAACAGACGCAACAGCCGTCATCAATGAGCCAACGGAAGAATATTCCAGCGTGACAAACTCTTTAAATTTACCATTGGTCTACAGCTGCTGAGATCTAACTCACTAGGATAGCTCTCACAACAACTATGATAAGATAACAAGTAGTTCAAATAAGATGGAAGCGTCAGTTTTTAAATACGCTAAAAGAGGTCCAATTATCTCGCATTCTTCATATACTTCATTTCATGTCAGTTAAAGTCAATCAATTACGCCTAATAAGTGCTCCACTGCCAGAGGTACAACATACATAAATTCCACTTCTTTTCTAATCGCCCTTCTGTTGAAAGCCAAAACGTTGCAACGAACATTTCAAAGGCAGGAAAAACAGGCTATATAAGAATGGCTTGAAAAGAATCAGTGACAATAACTCAACGTAAGATGAATGTTCACACCCTAATTAATAAATTCGATTTTGATACTTCGAGTATGTGCCCTAAAACTCTAATAAACTAACCGACATAACCCCCAAAAAAATTGTTATCAAGATTTCGAGAATAAAATCCTCAATTCATTCCTCACAGATTTGATTCAGATAACAATCGTCACATAGCGACAAAAAAGACCCAGAATCAAGGATAACGCCGCATAAGCGAAAAAAAGAAGTATAAAAAATGATCTAACAGTCAAGAAGTAGCCTATTCTTCAGCAGTTTATAACACAACACCTACTCGATTCTGATATTCAGCTCCACCAAAGCAGACGGTATAGCAGCAATTCATAAACCAATGGAAATAGCAGTGGCGTTACGTATCCATATAAGATTAAAATTGAGCAAAAAGAAGTTCGAGACAGATTCTGGAGACCTCGTCAGAAACCGGAACAGTTCATAAAGCGGATAAAAATCCGCCAGAATTAAATAAGTTGTTAATTCGAACTAAAATAGCGCATGTGCCACATAGATTGCGACACAACCAAAGATACAACCCATGTATCGGAGATATCGCGAGCTATAAACAAAGAACTGCTTTCGTATCAGAGATAGATAACATGGATGTAGACGAAGGCGGTAAATGTATATGAAAACTTAGCCACAAAGTGGCACTTGTAGGAAACGAAAAAGAAATCAAAGCAGAACAAGCTAGCTTGAGAAAGCCAGACAAGTAGCTTAACAGTCAGTCAGGCAGGTAGGTGTAGATAGATAAGCAGTTGCGGAATTAATTATAATCAATTCTGATTTTCCAAATAACAGCAATATTTAAGCAATTTGCGAGGTATGCAGTTTCTGCTCACTTCTTGTTCTGTTCGTGGAATGCGATTCGTAGCTGGTGACCTTGAAATTTCGGTTCCATTGAATGGGCTTTTTGCGCCGACCGAACATCCATGAAACTAACCACAAAACCAGTGGCACCCAAACGTTCCACTTTTTGTACACGACCAAATCTGAAAAATATTTATGTAGTTTGTAAATTATTCGCTGAAATTATTAATCATGTTCATGAATCTGGAATAAAAAGTATTTTAATCGGTCAAAAATAAAAAAATAACAGCCAGATATGCTCCATATATCTCATTAAAAATGCTTTACAAATGTGTAAATAATATTCAATAATGCAACCATTTGACAAAGTCAAACGTGACCTAGGGTGATTATTTTTCGTAATATTCATTATATTAATTCGTAATTGCTAAACAATTAAACAAAAAAAGCCACCCAATCATCGTATATAAATCATCTATTACAGAGTTGGAATCATCAAAATGAACTTATTATTATCGCTACTTGCCCTAGAAGACATGAAATTTTGATTTCTTTGATTTCTTCTTTTTTTAAATCGACGTTAAAACCCAAGTAACAAAGATAATCAAATCACCTAAAAAAGATCTGTGACAGCTATAATCGGCACAACATCTTTCCAGTCTCCACGCCCTTTATTTCATGTACTGTTGAACGATGTCGCTACAGAAAAGTGGAAAAAAAAAAAACAATGTTCCCCATTACTGTCATCACACCGTACCCACATATGAACTAACACTACCCAATTTCTTTGTAGTATCATTACATAACAATCACCACACTCTCAAAGACACCCAAGTGAAACTAAGACATATCAGAGTGCAAAGTCTTTAGCAAAAGTGTTACCAAATTACCATCAAATCCATTAAAATTTTCAATGTCATCTGCCTATTTTATCTGAAAAAAGAAAGATATGATGGAATGAAGGTAGCGAAAAGGATAGGTGTTACAAGGTAGATAAAGTTAAGAAGTATACATAATACTCTTTCTTCTTTATGGTAATAAAAATTAAAGATCTTGATCTTTGGTCCTCGAAAACTACCAACACCACATAAATGATTATTAAATCAAGAAATGATGGATGGACGTTGTACATTATGCCGAAAGTTACAACTCATCATTATACGGCTGCACACCACGTAATGTATGCAAATTACATAATCCAATAAATGCGTGTAGAACTTTAACATCATCGTTTCTCTCGCAATTTACTAAATGCTTACTACAACAAATGTTAAGTACTCGAAATTATAAGAAATCGATCACTAGAGTTTCGTGGAAGTTTACTCAAAAATAAAGAGTCCGTTAGAGAGTAATAATAAATCAACAAATGCAAACAGCACTCCCATTGTGGCACAACGATGAATTATCTCACTTTTTACATAAATTTGGAAAATATACAAAAATATTTTCGATTCTCCATGCTATCTTTAATAGCTCATTATAGTCAACCAAAACTTTTTCCCCTCTTTTAATTTACATTTTATACAGTATCATCCAGAAAAACAATATAAGGTGATCGACATCAGACACTAGCACCCAGATTCGACGACTGATAACGTCCGTTCAATATTTTTCACTTCAAACACTCTCCTCTCTTTGCAATTCAAAATTGAAACATAACTGGCTAGTTTTAGCAATCGTATCTACCATATCAGAAATTTAATGCCGATGTTTAAGTCACTATTTGATAGAAAAAAAAATGCTTATAATACTATATCATAATTTATGGTTGAGAATCAACTTCCTCGTCTGGCTAGCTAAAGTGAAGCGTAAGAAAACTGCTGAAATAAATGATCGGAACTACTTTCCTCAGTTATGGTGGCTTTTATGATTCTGTTATGCAACCGAAAATTCCTTCGAGCAATATCTTAAACGACGCAACTATAACTAGCCTATTAATAAATGTTCCATATATCATAACCGTTTTCTCCGAAAAGCAGGCTTACACCTCGACGTTTTGCAGTAATGAATAAGACTAGGAAGGTCAACAGATCGTATAATGTTTATATATTTTAGGCCATTTTTCTAAGTCCATTTATCCAGGCGATAATTCATTTGATGTACATCTAATATAAGATCTAAGTTGTGAATTATGAGCCTGCAAGATTTTAGATAAAATTGCATCAAGGCATTATCCAGTTTCTAATACATATATGAGCTTATCTTCTCATGAAATTGGTAAATGTCATCGCACGATGCATCTGACATATTTTAATTGAGAATGATGAATAAGACTACCAGAATCAACAATTCATATAATAATGTTACTATTGTTTTTTTTTCCGTTTTTTACAAAGTTCTATTTTTTTTTGGAAGGAATCCGCTGAAGAAAAACAAAAGAAAAAAGCAAAAGCAAAAATTTGTTTACGTGGAAAAAAATGATGAGACTCGTTCATCCGAAAGACTATCCGGCAGACCAATTACATGGACATGACGACTCTCTCGGCTCATATCCTGCTCTGTCGTATTGTCAGGAACAGCTGTTGTGGAAACCGTTGTGGTTGTTGCTATCGTCGTATTCCTGCTATCAGCAGCAGTAGGAATTATAGCGATATTGGTCGCTGATGTTGCGATAGGATCTGGAATACAGCTACCAATACTGTCAATCAGTACAGTTAACTGTTGTGCAGCTGTAGTAAAATTTGACGTGCAGCAATTCAGTAACCACTTAGGATGCTGCTGTGGTTGCTGATGATAATGCTGATGCTTAAACCAGACAGTAGATGAAGTTTTCGCAACCAATGGATTGATGCTACACTCTTGATCTTTTTGTTGATCTTCCTGATTTTCGATTTCGTCACCAGTTGTAATTTTTGCCGTTCCTGGTGAGCTGTTCTTATCGCTAATACCGGATTTCGTTTCTTTATTATTATTACTGTTATTATTATTATTACTGTTATTACTGTTGTTGCTGCTTCCGCCAACGTTAATACTAAGCACTTGGGCGCTGATAACCATTCCATGGAAGAACTGGCAATACGGCGCGCAGCTGTTGATTGGTTCGTTGACTGCCAACAAATCAGAATTTTCTGGTCAGTGCTACGTATAAATGATAACAATTTTACACGATAACGACTGATTTAGCTTACTATTTTAACTTTTTTTTTCGCTCAGTCGTGACTTTTTCGCTTCTTCCCCTCTCTGAATACTTCGTCAAATGAATCTGAATCTTTCTGAAGTTTCCAAAATAATCCTTGATATAGTACAGGATGATCCCTCATCCGTTATATTCCATACACTAACTGCTTCGTATGCGTATCCTTGTTACACTGTAGTCCTGGAAAAAAATGAACTATTTCAAAAACGCGCAAAAAAAACGAAAAAGAAAAAACGCTCCCTCTTGCGAATTCTAATAAATGCTATAAGTTATCCGGTAATTTCATGTTATAAACCTCTCCCGTTCTAAATAAGAAGCATAATCTTTACAGAAAGTAATCATAAAGTACTATTGAAATGCCAACCAAGTTTGGATTTGGAAATTTTCAATCCAAAAAACCGATATTAGCAAAGGTCAATCTCTCTCGCAACACATGTCATTGAACTCATCCAATGTCCCGCACTTCCGTTTTACTTTCTCTTCAAAATGCAACGTATACAAAACTTAATTCGAATTCCCATTCAAAGATATCCGAGTAAGAGAAAGAAAGCAAGACAGATGTCTGGTCCTGACATTTAATAGAGAAGAAAATCAAATCGAAATTAGTAATAGATCACACCGAAATGATAATAAACACCGCTCAGAAATGATCCATTTTCCCTTCTCTAAAACATTTCTCAATGCTTCCAATTCAATCCAAACAACTATGGGAATTTGAATGAATACTGGATGAATCATCATACTTTCTGAATCCCCTCCACCAAGGAATGAACAAGACAATCATTCAAATTATAATTCGCTAAGGATTTCTAAAAACCGTTGGTTATTTCTGTCAGGTACTCCTCGTCTTATCGATACCAACCAGATAACAACTACTGTAGCACTAAATTGAAGACAGAGAGTAGTTCACTTGCCTCTACAGTCTCTTGCCTATCGTGTTTATTATATTGCAGTATTCAACCCTTAGTTAAGATAATTTGTCAACCATGGAAGATAGTAATAACAAATTATATTGTTTTTCAACAACAGTGAAGATCACATATCAACAATACTGACAACATTCGTAGCATCCTTTGTCACTCAAAAATATCTTTTTTATTTGCTTCGTGGCAGCTTTCCTATCTATAACAGATAACACAAATCAAATGTCATTTTTTGAATAAATTATTCTCTACAAGGAGAAAATGAAGTTCAACATTTTACTTTTGTAAACTAAGGAAAAAAAAGTATGCTAGGGTTACAGAAGGAAAGAAACGTTATTATTTTTGTAACGAATTTACAGAACTGAAAGATGAATGTATCCAGTCAGTTGCAGAGAGCTCAGATATGAGGTAACTAGAGGTCGAGAATAGGAATGAAGTTTGAGATAAAGTATCAGAAAAGACCAAACAACAACAATAGTAGCCAGCCCTAGCAGCAGTAGAAACATTAGCAATGAATCAGAACACAACTGTTGAGCAGCAGACTTGAACGCTCTCCCGACACTTGATATTTCTTCCTCCTGATCATCATGTCTTTCAGATGTAACCCAACGACCGTATGAGTTTGGAAATTGAAGAGAACTAATTATTGTTATGAGTAAGTGTACGTCGATGCGTATGCAGCTTCTATTTTTCATATTCAATTCCAGAAATCACTTGGACACAAACTGGAACTTCGATCAAATCTAGCTTATACCAACAAGTTGCATGATATCACTTCTAAAAACTCGCTTTACTGGAAGAAACTCGCTGGAACAACGCTTCTTTACATCGTAAAAACCCTATATCACTGTTCTAAACAAACTATCAGCATAACTTGAAAAACAAATTTGGCTAACTACACTGAGGAATGATTAACACAACGATCATCTTTCATCACAAACATCCGTATAAGCAGCGTTGTTGGAGAAGAACCGACGATCCAATGTTGTTTGCCGAAGAAAGAATCGAAAACATAACCGAATCCGACTATCATCAGCCATAAATCAGACCAATTATAATTTCCTTCTACAATTCAACCTAAAATTTATGAAAGAGAAATTGATGTCTTACGTATGGAATAATTTTGCTACATTTAAAATCATTCGTTTTAAGATGATCACTCCACATACTTTACAAGTTATGGACCTAAACAGTAACCTAAGAAATCATATAGGCGGGCACCTCAAAATTAGCCGAATTATATAATCTTCAGTAAGATTTCCCAAAACAAGATTGAAATGTGGACCTTAACTGGCAGTATTTGTGTATACTTCGTTAACAGAAAAATGTACCTATTAATCGCTCTCTTTTAAATGACTTCAATAATCTGATAATTATAAAAAATTAATATCACTGACAACACAAATGCAAACAGCAAAACGGAAACAGAAATTCACTCACTAAAACAATCCACATATCAATGTAACATGAAAAAAATCAATCCAATCTTAGTGATAAAGATGTAATGTGTAGAAAAGAGGAAAAAACGATAATATATGCGAGTAATACTAAAAAATAAAGCATATCCGGGAAATGAATGGATATGAATGTGGGATAAACTGAACACTATTTGATTGGATAATCATAGTACCATCAGTAGTAGAAGTAGTAGTAGTAGTAGTGGTAGTAACAGTAATAGTATCCCAGTAGTAGTAATCGTAGTAATAGTAATAGTAATGGTAGTAATAGTAGTCACCTGCCGACGTTGTCGTCGCCATTGCCGTCAGTCAGTCAACAGCAGAATCACAGGCAACGATTGCACTGACGTGGCAAGCACAACAACCCTCCTCCTCCACCCACCCCAGAAAGCACCAAACGCTTACACCTAAAGATGAGGGGGAGGGGTTCACATCCCTTCTATTCTGTCTCTTTCTCTCTATCTTTGCTTTTTTCATCTAAATAGAATGTCGAGATTTTCCCCTCTTATCCTGCATCCCACTTTTCTCCAATCGTACAAACTGGAGAGAGAGAGAGAGTAAGGGGTAATCGTTAGTAATTCAAGTATCGTTTGCCGTTCTGGAACCACCCATTCATATGTCCAAGGTACCGCCCATTCAACCTCGTTTGCCATACATCCCATAGCAACCCGGTCATTCGTATGCTGTGTCGTCGAGGTGGGTGGTGGTGGCAACGGTGATATTTCCAATGAACATGAAGCTTTTCTCTCTTCCGCTATACTGCATTGTGTATTGTGATGAAATGGTGTAGTTCAATTCAAAATTCAATTTGCCAATTGCTCATCATTATGGGTACCAATCATAATTTGGACTTCCTCATCCCTCACATATATATGTATATATATATATATGTGTATATACATATGTATATTTCAGGATATCTGTAATAGCTTAACCCTTTTCCCTTTTCCACTTTTTTCGCTCATATTAAAATAAAACATACCATGCAACATGTCATCCATTCTTTTAATTACCTAAAGGAAAACATCTATACATTCTTCCTCTCCCCCACTGCCTTCTCTTCCCATATTATGCTAAATATGATGAGGTAAGTGACATGGATTATATCTTCATCTCGCAAGTCAATTGAAAAGGTACGCTTTTAGCTACGACATATGCCTTTCGTTTGATTCAGTATAGCAGCATACAGTTTATAATACATTAAACAACAATTCATGAGGTCAAAGTTTGATAAGATAACGAAGAGTAACAAGAACCCTATCGCATGAATAAACACCTTTTTCCGACTCGTTCTATTAATCAAACTGCTAACGAAAATTGCTATAGTTTACAAAACTGTAAAAGTCTTCCGTAATTTACAAGAACCAGCCCATCAATATGTGTCTACATAGGAACATTTCGAACATGAGTTATCTCGTGTTATGAGAACACAACTGCACATGCTGGCATTTTCCACATTACATAAACATTACATTCTCTCAGCTACCTCAATAGCCTGATATAAATTTTTATGAGTGGTTCCAATCTGCCAATTTCGAGTTATTGGATCTGGTCATTAGGGTATTTTCACTCTCTCATAAATTCCAGTACATTGAATCTTGCTATCACTCACTGTAGGAATGGGCTATTAGAAGTTCCACTACAATAACTATAATGAGTGCTAAGATATTAAGAACAGAAAGTTGATAATAGTTCTTTGTGTCAATGTTCTACAATAAATAATTAATCCTTACCTGACTTAGCCATTAGCTAATGACGTTTGACTGTCTTCAGGAGTGAACCTTTATTCGAGCCTGCAAAATTATAAGTTTTAGAATTTGGTAAACAAAACATTTCATTTAATAAATGATACTGAGAGAATTTGTGTGGGTACATGTATTATTGTGACGAGACTAAAATATGAACCAGGATTCTGTGGTTTTTCGTTAAAGCTTCATTTTCAGTATGTCAGAATAAAACATTCCATCATTTCCACTTCATTTTTTTCCCTGAAATAATGTCTACTGTCAACACATAATAATATGATGTGGCCCACTTGTTTTCACGCATATTAATTACGCATGTGAAGACTAATTATAATAGCGGAAATTTAGCAGCTAATGATGATCCTCCTGCACGAGCCTAATTTTTGTGGGATTGGAAAATAGATGGTTTTAGAACATTCAAACTTTCCAAATATCCGCAGAACATCGTATTTTGCAACAGAATAAGAGGAATGGCAGATTTGCAGGAGAGGGCCCCGGTATCGGTCCTGAAATTAGCCATTAAACCGATTATCTTTACTTGCAGTGAAATGAAATAGCGAATAAGTATAACTGCTGGTTACAGTCTATAATAATAACATTTTCACACAAAGACTCTTTTTTAATAATATTACAGGTTTCTCTATCATATAATTAGTTAACTGGTCGTTTCTCAGTTTGATTAAAGTGCAATTTCAGAGAAATAAATTAATTGATATGAAGAGCACTAAGAAAATTCTGTTAGTGCGATAAGAATATGTGGTTAAACTCGTCAAATTTTCAGTAGTGTATATGTAATGAGGTTAGAATATGGAGTACTTGAAAATATTTTTGTTGCTGCTACATAACACACATCCAGTTTGCCACTGCATTTGAATACTTAGCCAAATGTACAGATTTAGAATACTTAGCTAAATGACAAATTTAGTCTCACTCATCATCATTAAGCTATTAAAAAAAAAAGTCTTTTCGCCATTTCCTAGCTGGATGTATATTTAATTAGATTCTCATATAGTGATGTAGTAGAACTGAAAGTTCCAGATAGAATAATATTAATACATTGGGAGTAATTTTAATGGAAGTATAGGCTAATCGATATAGGTCTTATGTGAATAATCGATCTACTGGAATACTAGTTATTACTATTACATCATTTTTTTTTCATCCATACTTATCTCTGCTTAACGATAAGTACAGTGTATTAGTCAATATCATCAGCAATATTTTCATCACTACTGCAAAAAAATTTGCAAGATGGACAACAGTCCAACATATATTACAATCGATCGAGATATTTTGCTAATCTCTGCATTTCAAACATTTCTTTTCACTTGGCTCCATAATGAAATCCCATCTTCCTGTATTTCAATTTTCCACCAAACATTCTCCCTGTAATTCATCTAATGTTCAAAGTCTAGCAATACCCATCCATTCATTCATTCACACACACACACACACACACACACACACACACACACACACACACACACCCACATACCCAAACACCCAAACCAACAGCTCCTGTCTGCTGTTACAAACCGTAATTTAATAGAAGAGATAAGTGAGAGAGAAGAGAGGGGTAAAGAGAAAGGGATTAGGAAAGAATAGGATCTATTGATTTGGTCGTTAACCCACCCGACAATATGGGGAAATTAAATAGAAAGGCTGAAAGAAACGGGTCGGGTAACATCTCCCTCTTTTCCTCCATTTTTCCCGTAAAACACCATGCTATGTATAAAATGATAAACTTCGTCCTTTCCCTTCCCACTCCATCCGTCGTAAAATCAGACTACACGAAGGATGACTGCACACATACACATAGTACCCTTAGTTAAGAGAGGAGAGAATTGCTACTCGTAAATATTCCCAACCCGCTCCCTTTCTCATTAGTTCCCTTCCCCTCCCTTCCCTTCTCTACCCTTCCATTCAATTCTTTTCATTCTATGAAACCCCTAATTATTAATTGATCGAAGCATGCCCCTTTCAATACTCTCATGCCATCATTATCATCATCATCATCATCATCATCAGTATGAACCCGCACTCTAAATCGATCATCGGAACATGTGACCTCTCTTCCCATTCTCTCCCTCTCTTTCTCTCTCTTTCTAAAAGAGGACAAAGCGGACGCTCCCTTACAAATCAACTTCATTTATGACACACATACAGCAAACCCATATATATGTACTGTAATTCCAATGCAAGATTAATGGCTTTGTCGGTGGTTGTTGTTCATTGCACTCACAAAGGCCATCACATAAATGTACAGACAGACAGATACATCTCACTTATATGGCACAATAAGGGAACCAACCTCCTTCAATAAACCTGATTTGTCCGGATTGCAACCTTGTTGTTGATTCATCCGGGCCGAGCAACTACACTGATAGATGATGGCAAACATTATAATGTCTATAGAATGTAAGGGTCAGTTAGCAATACACTTCATTTGGGTCATCATTATTGACCTTAAAAGAATGACAAAGTGCTCTCTTTCTTATGCTCATACTCTGCATAAGCATCTTTATTAATCGACCACAATTTGAATTTCAATAAAAATTTTAATCAATTATTACCAGTGAGTCATATTAGTAGTTCGATTTTGAAAATTAATTGTCCCTCAATCTGTCGTGAAAATTGGGGACTGTTATTGATGAAATGCATCTTATAAAGGCAGTAAGTAATGAAATATCTGTTTGAGGAACTTGAGTAACTCTATACTTGAATGTTCTAGAATATGAGGAATTCAGTATATCTCCTGCCGTTATTTGTTTGTTTCGGAGAATGATGGATAGTGATGTAGGGACTACAGAATATCAACAACTTTCATAAAAATTCATTTTTGTCTTTCCATCTCAATATGATTTTATGGAACAGACAGGAATTAAATATTCCATTTATACAATTCATTAAGCTGCCTAACCACTTAATTCATCCACTTTTTGATGAGAGTATCGAAAAAATTGACGTTGCATTAACTGTTAAAACCAGTCTTTTCAAGAAAGACAAAAGAATGACGATAGAAAACGATGAGCATGCTCTTTGTTCTGTAAATATAAAGTATCGCTCAGTGAGTAAATCGATTAGTTGTTCCAGCTTCCTAGCCTTTTCTTACAGTTTGAATGTTTCGATATAAGCATTAACTGAAAACATCCCGTAAGCGCAAACAGCTATCATAATACATCATCTCATCTGATAATAACAGGATCAAAGAGAGAAGAGAAAGCATGATGATGTCCCATCAATATCAATGGCTCCATCGCTATCATGATCATTTTCATCACGATCGTAGTCATCATCGTTAAATGAAGAAAAACATTTGTTACAACAAACAAACAAACAAAAAAAGAAAACACATCTACACAAGGATTATTTTTCTGTTTCCAATATGAGAGGAAAAAGAAACAAAGGAGTTCTTTTCATTCTTTTACACAAAGGGAAAAAAGGAGGGAGAGAAAAAAAAAGAAGAAAGAAATGAGTCTTATTCTCATTTTTTTTTTTCACTATTCATTCTTCACTTATCCTTCCTTCCATCCACTTTCCTTTCAATGATAATGAAAGGAAAAGGGAAGGAAGAGAGAGGATAAGAGAAGTCCTATTTCTATTCATCATCGAAATATCATCAAACCAAACACGGGGGTGATATATTATTGGAGAAGAAGAAGAGAAGGAAAAATGACGATACAAAACGTCAACAAATACAACACAATTTCCCTCATTCTTCCTGTCTCTTTTTCCATCTTTTTTTTTTCAATTTAATAAAAGAATTTATTAGAAAATGACATTAGAGCAGGGAGAATGAGAGAGAGAGAGAGAGAGAGAGAGAGAGAGAGAAAGGAAGAGGCAAACTGAAGAGAACATCAAGCTCAACGATGACATAAAAATGATCGGATTAGAAAAAAGAAATTATGATAAATTATGATAAATTTTTTTAACATACATATAGAAAGATTTAAAAGAAAAAAAAATGAATTATAATAGAAGAATATCGAAGCAAATCCCTCCACAATGGAAGAGAGAAAGATTGACAAATATTATCCAGAACAGTTGTGAAGGTTAATCCTTATCTTCTTTTATGATAATGATAAATGTGTGTCAGTATGTTTGCAATCTGTATACAGGCATACCATCATTATCATCGTCATTATCGTTACAATCACTCAAAATTGCTCTCCAAAAAAAAGTTGAAGAAAAAAAACGAGAATGATGAGGTGTGTGGTATTTGTGTGTATTCGATGAATGATGATGATAACTTTTTACTGCAATGTCCCACTGGGACAAACTTCTACAACTGAGTCCGACAATTTCCACAGATATGCGGTAATTACTGAGGAAAATGCAGGAAAAAAATTGGGAGAGCTTTCTCATTCATCCTTTCAGTCGAGAATTTAAAACTTCCATCATTTCGCTCTTTCTCTTTCCCCATTTTCCCTCTCGGATCGTTACTTTCTTCATTTCCCTCTTTTTTTTTTACCTCCATCCTCTCCCCGCCTCTCTCTCTCCCTCCCTCTCTCTCTCCCTCCCTCTCTCTCTTCCTTTCCCCTCAATTCATTTCTAAATCAATGGAAAGAATGAGAGCCCCCCACTATTCAGTTCAATAAATGCACGCACCCGCCTTTCCCTCCCATATGCATCGGATATCTCCAGACAGACACACACACACATACACACATACACATACACACATACACACATACACACATATACACACAGACATATCTTGGCGGGGATGGAGAGAGCGAGAGGGGAATAAGATGGAACCATCCATCCAATATCGACCCCTCTCTCTCATTCCCTTGTAATTGCTGTTGCTGATTGCCCCGAGTAAACAATTTCGAGGGACTTTTCGTCTAATGCAAAAATGTGGGAAATTTTTGTTTTTTGCTATTGCAATTGACGTAATCATTTTTTGAACAAGAGGAAGATAGCAAAAATTTTATTTGCAGTTTAAATTTGTGGAATTCACTGCAACCTCATATTTGAATTGAAACATTGAAACTTCTACTAAATACAATTCTGCGTTTTTTTCGTTATCAAAATATATAAATTAGCCAATGCACGCATGCAAAAAACATTATTTATGATTGCTGTCGCATGTATAAGGAGAAAAAAAAAGAGCTATTTTAATAAAACTTACTTATCTTCTTACTTTCATTTCTCTTAGCCATTCATCATACATCTTTCCTGTGGTAGACATAAACTATTTATGTATAATCTATTTAGACATGAAAAAAAATAAAGATCCTTCACTATTCTCCTCAAAATCTGTAAGGCTTAAACTTAAATTTGTAGAAACTAGTAAATTTAAATTGAACATAAAAATGAAAGCATAAATTGATGCTAAATAAGTGAAATTATCTGATTCACTAGCACTACTTATTGTAGCACATATTTCAATTGTTGTTGTTCATACGCGTAAACTTCCTAATGAAGCTTACGATAGTATCTGTTAATTAGTGATGAAGTATCAGGTAATAATTTCGATTTCTCATAAACGATTTACTAATTTTCGACAAAATTTGTTTTTCTTTTCAATAAGTTCTGATAAAATTTATTTTTTTTTTTTGAAAGGAAAGCAGTCAATCCATCCAAAATAAATCTATCGATTTCTTTTTTGAAAAAAAAAAGCAGTTATTCCATTAGAAACAAATAATTTTGTCACATGAAGCGGAAATGCTAATGAGCACATGAATTCATAGATAATAATTTGCTTCCTAATGATCACATTATCCTGATCGGTTAACAGAATAATCGAAATAAGTTCGAATTAGAAAAGAAAAAAAAAAAGAAAAGAATTCATAAAGGATAGAACGATTATTTTATGTATGTAAATAGAAAGAATTGATTGTAATCACTGAAAACATCACAACTGACCTCTAACCTCATCTTGAGAAACTCAGAATTTTATGGGCAACACTTGAAATTTATAGCAGAATATCATAACATCGCGCCATTTTTTTTTTTTTTTTGCTAATTTCATGTCTGATTCTTGAGATGGAATAAATACACGTTGACTTTTTACAATCATACGATCATTGAATAATTGCTAATTTACCAAAAGAAAAAAATCCATGCACTAAAAATTTGCAATGTCTATATATTATATGGAATAAACTTAAAAAAGTATATCAATGGATTTTAAACATGCGTAACGTCTTCAACGCAATTTGAGGATAACAGCATGTTTATTATGCTTACGTATACTTATAATCGAATAGTTCGATATATTCCTTAAAATCTCATAAAATATGACTAATAAAGGAATTATTAACACACAGTAACACTCATTAAGTAATCATCAATTAAGCAGCATTTTTGGGTGAAAGATGAAATTTCCTTATTATCGGATAAAATATTGGATCACTACTTATCTATTATATCATATCGTATATCAGTAAGCTAATCAGTATCTGTAAATGCAAATACGTATAGAATGAAATGTGCTAGTACTGCACCTTTAATGATATATTCACTTTTTATTCAAGCATATAAAATGTAATAGTATGATAGCATCAATAGTATCCGGTGTGGTTTCATTCTGAAATTGTTGCATACATTTCCCAATCACGTACGTGTAACACCACTACGCAGCGCTTACACATTCAATCCCAGCCACGTGCGTATGTAGCACTACCGTGCAGCGTGATCGCTTCAACGGATCATGTAAAAATTGGCGTAGGGACGATCGGTATTTCATGGTGAGCCGGCCGGTGGGCTGTGCATAATAGCACTTTCGTGCATTATTGTTCGCATACAATTTCCAACGGATGACGTGACCCGTCGTATTTGTCGTATTTGTATAAGCTGACGTGTTGTTCATATTTCTCTTGCCAGGATTACTTCTCTGCTGTTGCTCGATGCTTTTTCTCCTTCTTTCTATCGTTTCAACTCTCTTCCTGGAAATGAATATGAAGTATTATTTGCGTGATTTTTGTTCATCCGATAACCATTTTTAATCAATTATCTACTTTAAGTTTTGCTTGATGGCAACCAAACGGTTTACCAAAAGTGCTGTCAATTTCAAAAGAGTTAGTGATTTGGTCGGCGAAAAGCACACCAAAGAAGTTACCGCTTTAGCTGTAAGTATTTTCTTGTTCCTACAGAATTATCAATCTCATTTATTACTCATTATGATATTTTTTTACATCATAATTATTGTTATATTTATTATATTATCTGCAATTCATTGCTTCTGCGAATATCATATTATTTACATATATATCTTTAGTACTGCTTCCGATTACCGTATATTTACTGTATCATTCAATCATTCTTTCTCTCCACCATTTCTATCATTTTAATCCGCATCTATAAAATTTACACCAAAGTAATAATAATTAAATATTATTTAAATTCATTCCATAGAAAAGTGTTTCATCTAATGTCTTTTTAAATATTTCAGCAACATCATCAGCAATATCTGAATACTGTGATATCTAAACCTGCGGAACTGCCAAAATATGATTTTGATAAGTTGAAGAAGCAAATGCCTGAGCATGCAGCTACTTTGGATAAGCTGCAAAAACAATATGAAGCAATTAAAATACCATTTCATACTGTACCAGAGCAATTTATGAAAGTATGGTTTCTTATTTTTCTTTCTAGTATCTGTTCTTGATTTTTATTTCGGGAAAGGCGCATTATCAAAAGGTCATATCCTTCACATTTAAAGTAAATGCAGTTCTCTAGTCCTTATCCTTCGTGGCAGAGGTATAAGAATTGTGAGTTGAAGATATTAACCAAATATTTGGAAGCCTTTTATAGGTTGGCTTGGAGATATTACTTTCCACTTGGTGTCTGAAAATCATATTAATGTCCATGCATTTAATTCCGTAGAAAAGTGTTTCATCTAATGTCTCAGTGTTTCATCGTCTTTGAGGACTTTATGTTCGATAGTTCCAGATGTTTTTGACAAGGAACTCTTTTGCTGCTATTGTACTATTCTCAACTTTATTTCAGTTTTTTGTTTGCAAGAAAATTTTATTTAGGAGATTGATGACTATTTGAAATACGTCGACACCAAAGTGGATTTTCTAAATCGTAAACTGGCAGATGCTACAGTGGATGAGAAAAAAGTAAGCTTTTCAGGATTTGAGTTCTTGGTATACCAAATGTACATTCCATAACAGCATTGCTTTTATTATCATAAAAAATCTTCGAAAACACGAACTACTGCAACAGCATTAGCATTAATCACTTTAATACTTTCTCTGAATTATGACTTGCTGAATTATGACTTTCTCAATCTTTTGCGAGGTAAGATTGAATAATAATGCACAACTTTCTTATTTTATAGTCAGAAGCATTTTTATTCTTAATTTTCACGAAATTTGCAGATAAAAGCAAAGTATGAAAACATGCCACCGATTGAACATTTCCGACGAGAACATTTTGCGAAATTCTTCCCCGAGATACATCGCGATGTTCGCTTACCAATTGAACGCTTTACGATGGGTTGGGGTAGTACAAATACTCCGGAGCACTTCCAAGAGTTGAAAGAACTCTTTAAAGATTATCGTTCACGTCCAGTCCCCGAGCATTTGCGGAAATGATTATGTCTATATATAGCTTTGTAGAGAGATTTTTTCCTGTAGATCTTTGTTATCTTCTTGTGTGGAATAATTTGATTTACTAATGATAAAATATAGTTACTTTTTTTGTGCTCTTTTCTGTTTTGTTCACGAACAAAGCATATAACGTGTTTTTTATGCTCATTACTGAATTTTATAGGCTATGATAGTACTGCTTCATGTTTAAAGTTGAAATTAGTCATGTTTAAAGTTAATAAAGCCACTAATTGAAGTTTCATAAGGAAATAAATGGATATGTCGAATTTTCTTTTTTTGCATAGTTTCCTAATTTTCAAATGTTTTGGAGTTTGTATGCTCTCATATTTTCGTTTAGAAAATTGTGGAATTATGAACGGTGATTTCGAAGTTAGTACAAAGCATAGTTGAACAGTCCTCGAGACTTTAAGCTTTGAAATATTTCTTGGAAGACGAGGGGGTTTTTTAAAATATTTTTCTATATAATGATCAAGTCTTATACTGGTTCATTTTAAGCGATAAAAGCATTAAACGTTGATATTTTGGAAGTATGGCAGGCACGCTGGATACATTTGTAAAAGCAGTAATGGGGCATACTCTTTCTGGTAAGTTGCTGATTTTGAAATAATTGGATCAGGTAGAATATTGTAAGAAATCAGAGCTGCAGCTGTGAATCATTTTATCGGTATCTCATAGATGCCCTTGCAGAAAATGCTGAAATATACGTGACATCTAATAGTTGAACGGCTATGCATTATGTTGAAAATATGAACTATTTTGATAATTTGAATTCACTATGCAGTAGCTGTTTGATCGTGTTTTATTCTATCATTAATTAATCTCAGAAAGTTAAACGGTTTAGCATCATGGCGAGAATTGGCTGATCTTCATCGGAAAGCCGTTTATGATGTGTTGGAACGAAATCTTCCTCATTTGGATAGTGTATTAGAAACACTTACTGTTGATCGGTATTCGATGTCAGTTGTATCGGTATTATTCGTCAAAATGAATCAAGTTTATACAGACAGTGTAAAAGATAGGGTCTGATTTTTCATATTAAATTTTAAAATTCTTATTTTTAGTTTATTTTGTTACTTTGCAAAAGTTATTTTTCTAAAATTTTCGTGGTCGTCTGATCGGCGTTTGATGGTAAGTGATGTGTTTTCGAATATAAGGCCTAATTTCGTAGTATGTATCTGCAGCTGATGTTTCAGACTTCTAAAGTTTTGTTTTTTTTTTTTACTGAGGTAGAAATGGACTTATAAAAGCTTAAACTTTGATTTGCAGTTTGAACGTACTTTGTCGCAGGTGGAATCGATGGTTCCATTTTTTGATAGCATGCAAATCTCATTCATTCCTGATATCTGTGAGTTTATGTTATTTCATAGCCATATCTTTGTTTATAGATTCTCTGTAGAATTTAAGGAAACATGCAGTGTTTTCAAACTTAGAAAACTTAGGTTTCTTTTATACATACTAAATTTGAGTATTATGTATCATATGTGGTTTTTAGATGTGTTGCTTTTCCGGAAAGTATACGAGTATTGTCTTCTCCAAATTAATAAGGTATATTTAGTATCATAACTTTACTGCTGGGTTTTATATATCCTTATTACCTCAAAAATACCTTATTATATCTTATTATACCTCAAAAAAAAATTTTTTTTCACTGATGTGGAGGGAAGAATGGAATATGGCAATAGCTGATTTATATTGATGGCGTCGAAAGTATCGGGATTACTGGATCTCTTACACTCTCACGCCACGGAATAAAATCTTTAAGAGTCATTACAAAGTAAAATTTGCAGCCAGCTCGTGGTATCATGTTGCTTTCAAATTCAATCAATGTATTGGTGAAAGACGAAAAGAACGTCCTTACCTCACTGCATTCATGTCTTTTCTGTTTGTGCCTTAAGGCTCGTATACATCATCCAGCCATGCCCTTCTTACATCTTGCTGTGCCGAGAATATTTAAGGAGGTGGGATAAATTTAAATGATTTATCATTGTCATCTTTCTTTTCAACTTATATCAGAAATCTGATATCAGAAATCTATTTAAAATGTCACCAATTCTCGCTGCTATATTTTGCACAGATTATAATTTCCCGTATGCTAAGTGCTATTATGTTTATATCATGTAGCTTAAATTTCGAAAAAATTTAGTATCTTTGAAAGATAAGATAAGTGATAAGTTCTTCATACTTCATTTATATGTTATCTTGATTCCAGACTGCAAATCAAACAGGCCCTTACATGGACCCTAAATGGGTAGTATTATATTTTTACTATGGTGGTTTGCTTTATGCGGTTCTGGGTCGTTACGAAGAAGCATTTGCAATGATGCAGAAAGCATGTTGCATGCCAGCAAATGCACCTAGCGCTATAGTGGTTCGGGCTTATAAGGTCATTTTTTCACATTAAAATCGTGAGGTTATATACGGCAATTATTATTACTTTCGTTGTGTTGGTTTTCTAAAATGTATTCAGTTCATTATATATTTGTTACTCGTGAAGAAGTTTCAAAACAAAAATTTTCATCGTACTTAAACGATTTATTGGGATGGTGTTTAGATTTGGATTTGTGTAAATCTTGCGTAATTTTTTCATAAATTTGTAGATATATGTGCTGTTATCATTACTTCTGCACGGAAAAACATATCATTTATCTAATTACCGATCGCCAGTGATGGTTCGAAGCATTATTCCGCTTTGTCCAGATTATTCGGCATTGGGAAGGATATGTGAAAATGAGGAAGAGAATTTCGACAAAGCTAGTGCCATATTTGAATACCTGGAAACACATTATGCGTCTTTCGAAAAGGTATTCGTAAATGATTTTTTGTCTTGTAAATTTGGCAGCAAGACAGAGATCCTGGAAAGCTTTTAAATAAGCTAGACCTAAAATGGCTGTCTTTCATTATGCATTTTGATTGCATAATACTGAACACATCACAAAGGAGATTCAAACTTCTGTTTGGCATTTTTGTTTTTTTCTCCTAGACTTTTTACTGAGAATTAGGAAGGAAAGATTTGTTTTTTGGAGTAATTTGGTATTTTTAGCTTAATTTATGGACTGCAAATTTTTTGTTATATCATTTCATTTTTGCTAATTTGTATTTTTCGCAGGATAAGACCGTTGGCTTAGTAAAACTGGTGGTTAGAAGTATTCGTGAAAATTCAATCAAAAGGCTATCTGAGGTTCGTTATTTCCAAATATATTTGTCAAAATACCATCGGTGAATTCCTGTTCAATATGGGGTTATATATGGCTTTAAGCACGTCTTTTAGCGTTTGAATGGTATTCAAGCACAATCCATTACAGCATGTTTTACGGGACTAAAAAGTTTTTATGTCTGTTAATATTTTTAAAAAAATGATAATGCAACATAGCTGTCAGTCGATAATTAATTTCCATGCAGTCCTATTTTCGATCAATAACACAAAAGTCCGCGAAAGATTCTCCTAATTGTGAAATTGATAGAAAAATAAAATGATGTAGAATTCCTTAATACTACTGTAAAACTGTCCTTTGCCCCATTAATAAATTAGAATATATAATGTGATGACAGAAATAACTTTCGGAAAAATTATAGTAAACTTTATTTTGAGTCTTTTGAGTGAAAAATAATATATAATAGTAACTTACAAAAATATTATGCAAAACAAGTTATAAAAACTTACAGGAAGATCCAACTATTTGCTTAAAAAATTAAAATAAAATTCCTCAATTAAGGTATTTTACAACTATGTTGTTTGCGATAACATAGGTAAAGTTTTTAAAAAAAGCTAATAGGTATGCGGGATGATGGAGTACATAAAAGAGATAAGTAACACAAGTTTTAGTGACATGTATTCTTCTTTTGATTCTCAATTAATGAAGAAAATTTTATTTAGTGTTTCATATCGATTTCACTGTCGGATGTAGCACGAAGATGCCATTTAGACGACAGTGATCATGCCGAAGTGTATCTTCGTGATATGAACAGAGACGGAAAAATTGGTGTACTTATCGACATGAAACAGGGCATTGCTTATTTTGATGACATGAAGGTTTGTTGAATGTATCTGTTCAGACTGTATAGTACTGTAAGCGAGCATCGGAATAAAAAAGTTATTATATAGCGTTTCATATCGATTTGTCTTGGTAATTTGGTGATATATTCTGTTTGATTAATTTTACATGAATATTTTGCATTTTATATACACTATTTATAACATATTGGGTTCATTAGTAAAAACCACTCCGAATATTCGAACTATAATATGAAAGGGAATTAAATTTTAATTTGACTGATGATTCGATTTTGAATTTTGAAAAGAATTACTATCCTTAAACGACATACCAAATTATTCTTTGTAGACAGAAGCAGATGAGCATGAAGTGGATAAAGCTGCTAATATTATATACAAATTGGATGCTTTAATGAAACAATTTGACGACAGAATTCGTGTCAACCCTTCCTATATTTCACGTGTTGGACGACCATTAACTCGGGGAGTTTCTGCAATTCCTCCGGATGAAGGTTTAGGACATCCAGGCTCTGTTTTTATGCCTAACGTTAATGTTGGTGATATTGAATCTGCAGCTGGTAGACCTATGGATATGGTCGATTAACTCTTATTGATATAATAAAGAATATTGTAACTTCTTACATATTTATAATGATTACCGGATTTTCTTAAATGCTGTTTTTTGAAAATAAGTAATATATGAACTTAAATCTCAGAACTAGTTGCAATCTAAATTACATCATTATAAATTGTTGCATAAAATCCTGTATTTCTATTTCCTCACGGTGCATCCAGCAGTATCTAAATTTATTACACTTGAAAAAAGAGTGAATCAAAAAAAAAACTGAAACCAGCATTTCTGTATAAATTGTATATGTTTTTATCTTTGCATCTTTTTTGCACTGTTTTACACCCAATCGTTTGATAAAAAATTTTTCAGTTATATTTCAGTCTGATTAAAATGGAATATGATATCATCTCTACTTCACAGCTTCCCCAATAGGCTCATAAGCAACCACATCCAACATGTGATTGCATTTCGATGCTAAGGACTTTATTGTAAGCCTATTCAAGCATCTGGCAGCGTCCCCACAGTACAGGCGGCTTTGGTTCTTACACTACAGGTAACATTTGGTAATCTAGCGCAAGCATAATTTTCTTTTCTGCTTCCGGATTCCAACTACACTACTCCGACTTCCAAATTTTAATTTCACTGCGCCTAATCTTACTATATCAATGGATGTACAATAAAAAATATTGTAAACTTTGTTGATATAATTCCAATAGCACAACATATAATATAATGTCATAGGTATACTACATATATTTGTATAATATATATATATATAAATGCATATCCAGAAAACTCCAGGAGTTACTCCTGGAAAATATACGAAAAAATACATTTAGGCAAAAATAGAGGAATATATATATATATATATCTTCATATAGGCCCCTATAAATAACTTCTATTTTACAATAGTCACTGGAATGAAACAAATTTCTAAACTCATTTACAACAACAAGATAACATCTGTTGTATAACAACAACAATAACATTTGCACATCTCATCTTCTTTACAAATTAAAGATTTAAATATTGGGCTATATAGGCATTTATTGTAACTATTTTAACATCTAGCACTTAGCCAGTCTGTTCCGAAAGAAAATGCCAAATAAATTATTGCTATTAGCCCAGTATGCTACCAAATAATCGATAGTAGCACATAGCCATGAGTCATGTTAGGTTCTTTTCATGATCGGCCATCAGATTACAAAATATTTTAGTGGATTTTTGAAGTTAAAGAAAAGAATTTGCGTTCTCAAATGAAATTTGGCATATGCATAAAATGTCCTATGATCAAAATTTACAAATGAAAAGATACGAGATAAGATACAAATAGTAAATGAAAAAAAAAAAAACAAATGGAAAATACCATAATAGCACAAAAAAAAACAACAATATGACAGTTGTTTGGAAAGGTTTCTTTCAACAAAAAACAATCGTAATAGACTTTCCAAACTTGCTTCAATCAAAAATGACACGAGAAAGAAAATAATAGATAACAATGATAAGAACTATTTACAAATCTCTATCATGCTCAAATAACTCTCGGGACAAAAAATTGGAACAAAAAAATCGGGACAAAAATTTTAAACTTCAATTTTGTCAATTGTTGGTTCCATACATATTGAATAACATGGCTCATTTGTTGATCCTGCCGCACTGTGAGTAAGTTGAATGTTTTGGCTTGGACGATTAATGAACGGATATGAAGTACTGATTGTATCAGACCACCAGTTCGTCTAAAAGTAAGCAAGTTGAATTCTAAGAAGTTTGTTCAAATTAAATTGATAACTATTTAATTCAATTGAAGTATTAGCTAACCTGTTCCAGACCTGATGTTAGTGGTATACTGCTTGATTGTACTGTTCCGGTATTTAACCAATGATTATATGCTTCATTTTTTGAGAAATCTTGTTGTTCTCGAGTAGTTAACGTATCCAATGGACGTTGCTAGAAGAAATGATTTAAATTATGAAATGATTTAATTTGAAATGGTTCAGTTTATGCTCCTTTCTCATTATATTTAAAACGTATTAATAATATGTCCTATCGTCAAATGAATTCCATGAAACTGTAAATAATATCGTTTTTCTTGTGAGAATAGAAATTGTAGATTTTTTGAAAATTTAAATGATAATAAAAACCAACAAGGTGCGGTGGTACGATTCTATTGTCACTGGTTAATGGTGTTTCATAAAATGGGGAAAATTGGTAAGTTGTTGCATCTATGTTTTCTCTCTGAAATATAGTAAAATTTATGCTTTAAGTTATTTCTAATTAA